TGTGTGTGTGTGTGTGTGTGTGTGTGTGTGTGTGTGTGTGTGTGTGTGTGTGTGTACAGTTGCACTCAGTTGTGCATAAAGAATAAAATTCAAATTCTGTGTCTTAACTCTTTTGCTCTCTCTCTCTCTTTTTCTTTTGTTTGTTTTTTCCCATACACGCATATGGCAGTGATTCTTACTTTGGCATGGTCTTCAGGTGGTTCTCTCTGAGCTCCAGGATCCGTAGTTTGGAGAGTCTGAAAAACAGAAGACACATAAACAAAAACTTAAAATATTTTATTAATTCTCTCTTGCAACAATTCTTACTACAACAGTTGTTATAACAGAAAATGTGGCAAAAAACAGGCCCCATTTATCCTTATTTTAACTTGAGAAATTGTTTCCTATTCAGTGATATAATGATAGATAATAATTGATCGGTAATGTGTGATGATTACCAAAGATTACTCCACATTATTATAGATGATCAGCACCATGAAAGTGTTTCAATTTAGAGTACTTTTAACATATGAGCTTCCACAGGAGTTCATTTGAAATGTCTTTCATCACAAACTAACCAATGAACAAAAAACACAATACAGTGACCCTCACAAAGTGCTAGGAAGTATATATTAATGGGATAATAGGATGAGGAAAGAATGACTGAATGGATAGAGGAATAGACTAATATTTTTTGAGAAATGAAAATTTGGCCCTAATATAAAAAATGCTCCAAAGATAAATGTCCATACAAGAACTAAGCCTCAGGCCTATCGGGCATGCTCAGCATCTTTGAATAATTACACATCCTTTAATCATGTACAGCACAGCACAGTTTAAAGGATGATAAACCTGGATGTACCCATATTTTTCATGAGGACCATTTACAATTGATACTAGCGGCACAGACTGAATTAGAGTCCGTGGTGCCTGAAATATGTAAAAACACCTCATCCAATAAAGTCACACACAAATGCTCAGGACCAAGCACACACTCACAATTACATGCATCACTTTACCTGCCAAAGTTAGCCGGCAGATACTCCAAGAAGGCATCGTTTAAGAAGAGCTGGGTCAGATTCAGGAGCTGCGTAAAACCATCTGGGAGTCTGGAAGAGAGAGTAAAAATAAGAACAAATGCAAAAGAATAAGAAAAAAAGAAAATGTGCATCCTTAAAGGGACACAATGGATTAAAATATGTTCCCATACAACCCTGTAAAACAGCTCGCTGCTGTCAGCCTGTAGATGACTCATCTCTTGCACACACACACACACACACACACACACACACACACAGTAAAAGAAACTTGTATGTCTGCAGTTTACTGTGTGGTTGAGTCCAGTTGTGCTTTATGGACATTACACCAACGACAGCAAAACAGCAATTACTATCATAACACCTGATGCTCCAATAGTGAACAACATCAGCACTTTATTGTAGGAATTATATCTTCTATGGTCTAGTCATAGCTGAGCCAATAGGATGTATATGGTTGTATGGTAGTTAAGGGTCTGTGGATGCAGCCAACTACTGTCAAATATGAAGCGCCGCTGTGGTGCTTTAAATGCATAGACTGGAATACAAGGAAAAGCAGAAAAAAACAAGACTAGTGTCGGTCTCTTGACAGGGAAAAATCTGCTCAAACAGCTAAATACATGGCAGATGCATCAAACAATCCATTACATCTTGAACTGAGTCCAGGTCCATTCAAACCGGTTGTTTCAATTGGTGCTATGAACAAAACATGGAACACAGTGTTTCACCCTCACTACAAACTGGTCCTGAATGAAAAAGAGACTACATATGAGCCTATTGTTTGAGATATGTATATTTGTAGGATGATAGAGTCAGTGCTGTAGATACGTATTCAAATGAGCTGCCATCAAACTACAGGCCCGGATATTCCAAGGGATTCAGCGGTCATGATAAGAGTAAGTTATACCACAAGGTGAGTGTTTGTGTCTTACTTGGTGATAGGGTTAACACTGGCCTCCACCACAGACAGGCCTTTACAGCATTTTATATTGTCGGGAAACTCCTGGATACCTGTGAGAGAGAGACACAGAGAGGGAAGACGAAATGTGTTTGTGGAGTGCATTTCTATAAAGACAGGGAACTATTTTCTACAGTGATCTTTGCAAGTATTCAGACATCCTCACATCCTGTCATAATACTTTGGATGTGAGATAATTGTGATTATTATTTTCATTCTGGGCTGCGTTCAGCTTTTCGAGATCTGTGCTACCCTTGTTTGTTTCCTTGCCCGCTCTTCTCCATACATTGTACTGTATCTGGGCATGGTTGTAATTTGCAGTGCAGTTGAGAGGGCCAGTGAGTTTTCAATAGAGTTTTACTTTGATCAGGTTGAATCAGGTCATCTTTTCATCACAGAGAGGATTTTTTACCGTTTTTACTGATGTCTAGCTCTTTGAGGTTAACCAGGCTGGCGATGGTGGTGGGCAGGTTGGACAAGTCGTTATCAGGCATGCTCAGCTTCTTCAAGGCCTGGCAGTTGAAGAGTTGCTATGGAAACACAGGGGAAACAATGGATTATTATAGTCTGTTGGCAGAATCACACAGACCTTTAGTGGAAAGATACAGAAGTACAGAAAGCCAGGAAGTCAGCTGGAGTCATGCACGACATAATGTTTTGCCATTTTAGATGCTTTTCAATGAATAATGCAGATTTAATCTCCAATATACGGTGGCCCCTCAGGACAAAACCCAAACTACAATGAAAGATGTAGGCGTCAGTACTGACAGGCTGAAACATGCTAACAAAAAACACAAACACAGACTAAACCACTGACATGAACGGGAATGCTATCCAAATCTAGAAATGCTACAAATACGAAAAACAAACAAACAAACAAACAAACAAACAAACAAGGCTAAATCGCAAAAATCAAGAAGATTTTTTTTTTGTTTTATGCTAGCTGCATAAAAATGCTGGTCCTATTGGACCTAAAGCCTGTAGTCCAACGGCCCTTTATCCCGAAAACAAAAGCAAAAAACAAAAACTATTATTTATTTGACTTAGTTCACAGAAGAGCTGTTAAAGTTAAAATCAGCCGAAATTAAAAGTCTTTCTATGAGAGTCATACTTACCATACGTTACAATTTATGTTATGATTTATATATCATCTGTTAAATTCAGCAATATGTTAACAGAGTCTGGAAAGTAGTAAGGCTGGCAGGAGTGTGTATTTTCGGAGCAGTGGACTTTCGTTTTCGTGTAACGGGCCATCAGACTAATTGAGCCTTCAGGCCAAAAATACATTTTTAGAACTATTGGGGTTTTGGGATAATGGGCATTTGGACCAAAGGACAGTCCCCCAGACAACTGTCCCATGTTATGTTCAAATTACCATTGAAATCTATTGCGATAAAATGCAGCTTTCTCTTGTATTCTAATGCAAACAAGTTTCTCCGGTGTGAGGGAGCTACATAACATCCAATTCTAAATACCATTGCGGAAGATAGCAAAAAGTTTAAATATTTCAACTTTGGATGTTATTGCAATCGTTACCGTTGGCCGGTATTCTCTGCCGGCCTCTCTCGTCCACTAACATGAAATCCGGTTTGCCGTTTTTTAAAATTGAGGTCGGCTAAGTTCCTGTGAAAGACTCAGATGGGCACGATGTCTTCATCCGTAACAATCTAAAAAAATGTGTCGGCCACATGTCCCGCCTGACTGTCAATATTGTCAAGAGCAAAAACAAAAGGAACACCAGGGCCAAAGAGCTAGACAGAGCTAAACATGGAAAGGTGGCCAGGTGATTCAGGCCACACGCCTCTACACTGAAAGACACAATCCCTCACTCACACACTTCAGGAGCTCTCCAACTCACTTACATAAAGGCCAATCACTCTGGCAGCCGCGGCAGCCTTTATACAATCTTGGCACACACATAAACATACACACTTTTTGTCTGTTGAATGCAAGTCGGGCTCCCCACTTACTCAGCCCTATTAGGCTGTCTCCATTCATGCAGGTTATATTTAGAAATCCAATTCACCGCCTCTGTCATTTAAACCAGGACAGGATATCAATAACACGAGACAGCGCTCCCATAAACAGCACCTGTAATTCTCTTTGAAATATTGTCAGGGCATTTTGCCTCATTACTGCTCACGCGAGGGCTTTCTAAGTCTCGGGTGGCTGAGGATGCCTCTCTTTCACCCCATGTTTCCTGTCACTCAATGTTGTCTAGTGTGTTTGTAGTATGGAAACATTACAGCTTGTAGTATAGTGTATAGTGCAAAGTCCAGAAATTTCGAAACTGTATCTTCACAGCTGTCCAGCATAAAATATCTCACCGCTTTTTGAATGGATTGACTTTAAACTTTGTGTAGTCATGCTGAACATGGGGAAGAATCCCAATGACTTTAAAATTATAAAAGTTAGCATTCAGTTAAAGTACGCCTGAGGCTGACGAAGTACAATGATGCTGCAATGTTCACTGTTCAGTTTCACTGAACTGTACAGAGGATGAACCCTTTTTGTTTAAGGACCAGCATGGCCTTGGCGCCACCCGGTTGCTGCAGAAATGAGTCTTAGAACCAGGAAATGAGTAAACAATCATAACTGGTGTTCTTTTGTATCTTCCTGTACAAAAGTGTAAGTATCATAAACTTGTGTTTGCAATGGACCTTATTTTCTGCAATGGAAAGATCCCATTGGCTTATTGACGAGGGAACCGGTGCAATGCTAACTTCAGGGTTGGCCGACAAACATAAGTCATCTCTGCACTCTATTAGTCCATGGATTTTAACTTTGGTTTTGCAAGGACCACATTAGGGTTGACTGACTGGCCTTGGTCCAGGTAGTCAAAAAGTTATGTTTAGCAAGTTGGGCTTTGAGGTTTGAGGTTGGAGACAAGATACAGCAGAAAGGGGATCAACATATGGTTCAGGGGCATTACCTTGGGTAGTTCCTCAATCTGGTTGGCGTCGAGGTAGAGCTCCTCCAGAGTCCTCTCAAAGCTGAAGATTTCCTTTGGGACCTGCTGCAGGCTGCAGTGGGAGTAATCCAACACTGAGATCACTTCCTCTTCACCACGGAAACAACGGCACGGCACCAGCCGGCCAATCAGCTTCCGCTTAGTGGTCATTTCCAGACACTGCACTATAGAGGCGAGAAGAGGGGAAGAGAAGGGTGACGTTATGTTATTTCAGAGGGTCTGACGGAACTCATACACATCAACAGGCGCATTGTATCTGTGCAGTCTTCATTCATTTCATTGTATGCCTGTGTAGACTATTGCTGGTGGGACAGCACCAAGTACATGGTCTGGCTTTATCCTTAAAAGATTAAAAAGAGTCTGAAATATCAAACTACCATCAAATACTGTATGTTTTTATGAGATTACCTATGGAGCTGTAATTGTGAACACTGGTCGTAAAGAGTTTCCTTTTTAATGTGTTGTGAATGGAAGAGATGGCGGACAACATTTTTTAAAAAGTAATGAATAATTATGAGGCTTCAGAAGTTTAAGTTAGTAAAATCAAGTGGGGATTTCCCACAGTATAAGACTTTTTAGTACATAATCCCTTGTTTGTGTTATCATCCCCCACCGCAGCTCAGCAAAGAACCAGGGAGAAAGACAAGAAGGCCGTCATTTCAGAAAAAAAAACACTTTATTTGTTTAACTCAGACTGCTGAAGCTTCGTATTAGCTTCTCATAAACTTTGTAATAGCTTTCAAATGACCGCCAGGCAGGTGTAAAAATCTCGGGCATCACTCGTCAACCAGCTGTTACACAGCAGTATGAGGCTTAGCTCTTGCTGTCACTCTC